GGGTGAAACAGCGGGCAAATTACTTGTATGTAAGGAGCAAATTCTCTCTTTTAAGTCATCCTTCCCGATTTCCAGAGTGTTTCTTGACAAATAAACTGGCTGTATCTAGAGCAATAAAAACTTTTTATCCAGTGCGCTACAATATTAAATACATACACGACGATAACTGCCGATTTCATGTAACTGGCGTCTGGCGCTGAAACGGCGGCGATGAACCGCCGGCGCTGAAACGTCCCATTTCGCTAAAACAGGACTGCACAACGCCACAACCGGTCTCAAATTTCATTCCATAACCAATTCTTACTGGCTATGAGTTGGCACGGCAATGATATGGACGGCAATTAGTTGGATCGGCAATGAGCTGGGTCTGCAGAGAGTTGCCTCGGCAATGATATGGCGGTCTAGAAATGGCGGCAATGAAGTGACGGCAATGAAATGTCCTAGACCGCTCCTACACCAAAAGGATGACTATCCGAAATTTAAACGAAATTTATGGAAGCATCAGAAATTATTTAGATAGCTACGCACTTTACTCAAAGAGAGACCGCTTTTGTCTCCTTACTCTCTCTGAGGTAGTGATCTCGAAATCTATTATATAATATACACATGGTGTCAATTTTAAAACTTGCAGTCGGCCATATTTTCCAAACTAAAGAAGATATTGAAAATCGCGCAAAACCGTATCGAGGGTATCGAGGGGGAACATGAATGACGTTATGGGTGACAACCCCCCCTTAACCCCCAGCCCCCCTCCTCAAAAATCATAAATGGCAACCCCATACTTGTGACACATCGTTGGAAAGCTACTGAAAAATGCTTTCAGACAGACGGACGGACAGACAGGCAGACGGACAGACACACGGACAGACAGACGGAGACAGACGGACAGACATACGGATAGACAGGCGAACAGGCAGCCGGACAGACAGACGGACAGAGAGACGGACAAACAGACCGAAAAAGTTGCGGAACTTCCATGTTTTCTGTGCTTTGAAAGACGATGACAAAGAAAATTTAAACATGGCTCGATACTCGATATTTTAAATACAGCTGTAAATGCCTCTTTAACAGCGGATGAAAGAATGATACCAGCAAGATGGCGCTCCGGCCCATAATTATAACGTAGTTAGAAGAAAGCTTGATATTTTGTTTGCAGATAGGTAATTTGGCAATAATGGTCCACACACGGGGTCCCATATGTCTCCGGATTTGGCGCCTTTGGACTTTTTGGTGGGGGCACATTAAACAAGTAGTCTATAAACTATTAAGATCCAATCACAACTTACTGATCAAAACAAAATATGTTGGAACGAGTCCGAGTCCGATTCTTAACATCGGATCAAATCAGGGCGGCAATAGTCCAGAAGAGTCCAAAAATGCTTGGAATAGGGTTGAAGATTGAGCGCTCGCGTTCTTTTTGTACTATTGTAATTAAGAGCAATGAAAAAAATACTAGGAAAGACTTATTTATACGGATCGACACGCGGTTTAGCGGTAAACGAAAATTTGAGGCGAGGAGGATAATGTTACACGAAGTGAGAATCAAATACTTAACTGAAATAATATGATATTCCTTTAAAGAGGTAAGTGTTGCAAAATTACTTACAAACTGGTTTATGCGATTCATGTGTAAAGAAGTAAAGGTATCCTACAAGAAGATTATGTGTAAAATTTTCTGTAGGTAAATCATTAACGAATGGCATTACTTAGCTAGATGCTCAACACGTCGTTTTGATGTATTAAAATAAATTTCCATTACATTGTTGTTAATCACTAACTCGATACATAAATACAAAAGACACGGCCCAGTTGTCTGCATGTATCCCATGAAAATAAAACAATAAAGGACCGAGTTAATTATTTTAGTGTCAGTTTGCAAAATGCAAATAAGAAAGGAATGTGCTAATTATGAAAAATACACCACGGTATTAAAGCCCCGTATCCTTATTTCCCTAGACGCGTTGCGTCTCTGAATGTAATCCAGCTTTACTCGAAAATTGTGTTCTCTATCTCTATCTGAGTGTATCATTATTAATTACTATTATTCTGTTACGTCAAATAGAAAAATACTAGATGAAACTGAGTTAAGTTTCACACTTTACATTGTTAGCTCCATATTCGTAAAAATTTTCTCACTGTAAATGAAGTGTTGCGCCACCATAAGCCCGTCCACATTTTGTATCAACCAACATTTCGTTGATAATAAACCCCTAAAGCAAATCTAAAAATGCGGCAGAGCACCTCGGTGTGACTCTACGGGGTCATTGGATTTGACCCATTTTCAATAGGCTTATTACATGTGGCATATAGGTCAACTGTGCAAAGTTTGAACTAAATAGGTTCAAGCGTTTGACAGTTATCGTGTTCACGGACATTAGCAATATTTTTGTTGTATATTAAAGAAATAATTCAAAGGGAGGTCTCTATAATATTAGATTTTTGTTTTGTTTTAATTATATGATTCATCAATATTGGTGTTCAACAGAAATTTAAATCAAATCTAAACCAATTTTCAAAATTTTAAATGTATAGAAACCTACAACCATTCTTTGTGTACATTGATGCCAAAAAAATTCAATATATTCATAAAGAGCTAAGTAATTAGACTTCTTTGTAAACGCAATTTATGTAAAATTTGTTGTAAACATACGGTTGACGTTGAGCTGTGGGATCAGCCGCTATTCTGGCTTGTTAAGAGCAATTCTTGGCGGTCTGAACGCATTCACTCCTAGCGGTGATATGATCCTTATTATTATTGCACCGTGCAAAGGGGTTAGTTTGGTAATTAAATCTTTTAGTGAACAGTACCTACTTAACTATGACTTTGCATATAACATTTTATATTCAAAGAATATGAGCATTGAATAAAGAAGTCCACTCAACGGTCAAGAAAGTGCTTGTTGCTTGTTGTCTTCTATTTTTATACCTACCTTACAGTTTTATTGCATACCTATTTTATAATTTTGTGCACTATAAAGAGTATAGGTACAACGTAGGTAGGTATACTTTTTGGTTCTGGATTTAAACATTATGCATAAGATGAATGGTCACTACACCTACGTTAACTACACAATTCTTTACTCGTGCGAGCAGTTGGTTGCATAAAATTTCACTAAATGCTTTGAAATTGTGTTGCTTTGTAAATTAGAAATCTTGGGAATAACGTATATAAGCTAAGGAATTGGAAAATCCTAGTTAATTGTGTATTTTTCAAAATGTACGCCCCACGCCCACGATGATAATCTGTGTGTGAGTGCCTTAAAGTAATCCTGATAGTGATGGAAATAAAAATTGATGTTAAAATTGGCTATACGGAGGAATGAGATTTTAAAGGATATGAACAATAGGTACATGTAAGCGTGACATTTAATTGTTTAGGCCACTACACGTAAGTGGATCAGATGAAAAATGTGCAGGAGGGGAGGTAAAATTTTGGCTTCCTTCCCTTCCAGGAAAGTGACTAACGAATACGAAAAAATGTTTTTTCACTACTAGCGTCTGATGAC